TCAAAATCCCATTAAACTTTAAGGGTGATAAACAGATGATTTTGGAGATGTACAAATTCATAAACGTTATCCATTTGTAGCATTTGAGGAACCAGTTGAGTAAACACTACCAAAAAATAAACTAATCAGAAGAAAGACATCATATTAAGACAGGTAAGATGAAAAGACTATGTATTTGTGGTGAGTAATGGAGTCCTGGTGTAGCTCTGTGGGTTAATGCTCCAGACTGCAAGGTTGGCAGTTCAAGTTCACCAGCTGCTCCTTGGAAACCCTATACGGGGTTGCTATGGGTCAGAGTCTACTCGATGGCATTTAACAACAATGAACCTTCAGGAGTCCTGGTGTGGCGCTGTGGGTTAATGTGCTGAACTGCAAAATCTGTTTGAACCACAAGTTCAGCAGTACAAGTTCACCAGCCGCTCCTTGGAAACCCTATACAGGGTTTCTGTGAGTGGGAGTCAACTCTTGAGCACTTAACTACTATTACCTTTGAATTTAGGTGGTTATATAAATGAATAATAATGTAACTGGGAATGAATGCATAACACAAATGGTAGCTAAGGATTCTTAAAATAGAAAGGACACTGCAAAGGAAAATCAAATAATTGCTGAAATGGAACAAAAAGTTTCAATTATCTTGGTGAAAGTAGGAATTAGGGTATATTTTAAATATCTCAACTAGGAGAGAAGAGTGTGAGGTAAAAATATTCTAAGAGTCTCATTTATTGAGGTAGAGTTAAGAAACAACAACATTGAGGGAGTTAAAGTGTTCATAAGGGAGGAAATAGTTGATAACTTCTTACCACATAATATTAGAATACAGACTCTAAGTCACTTACAAAAAGAACAACTGTTGCTTGTTAAAGTCATGTGGCTAAATTCTTGCCAATCAAATATAATCTGAATTGATATGTGGAATCTCCACATTGCTTGTTTTGGTATTCTTTTCTTTTTCCTTTTCAATAGCTGGAGCATGTCATTTATTACACATCAAGATGACAAAATCCAAAAGTTTGACATTCTATGTTGAACAATGTATGTATACTGGTGTGTATTGCTGGTCATTGTTGTTAGGTGCTATGAGTTGTTTTTGTTTTGTTTTTTTAAACTTTTTATTGCGAATTTAGTGAAGGTTTATAGACCAGATCATGAGTTTTAAATGCAACAAATTATACTTTGTTTCATTTTAATGGTTGCAATCTCCTCCATGCAACAACAGTTATCCCACTTCCTCCCCATAGTTCCTATTTCCATTCCACTCTCCTTCCCATCCCTTCCCAACTTTGTCCTTAGGGAAATGTTGCCCTTTTGATTTTGAATGACTGACCATTCCATGGTGAGCATACCTTACTATTATTGTTGTTCCCTGTATGTAGCTGCTTGATTTAAAATTGGGCCATAAGGCTGAGTTCCTTTTCAGACCTGATGTGTGATTGAGGGTCATAGTCTCAGGTTCCTCCAATCTCTTTCTGACCAGTAAACCCAGTGTTTTTTTTTTTTTTTTTTTTTGTTCTACATTTTCTCCTACTCAATTCTGGACCTTCTAATATGATCTCTTTCAAAGCAGTTGGCAGTGGTAGCTGGGCACCATCTAGTTCTACTTCTTACAGTTTCAGAGTCTTGGAGACTAATGCTCATATGTTCCATTGGTTTATTGGACTAGTTGATTCCAAGCATCTTCAATTCTTATCACTCTTCTTTCTTCAACACATGGAGAGATCAACAGTTGCACTTTAGATGGTCACTCATGAGTTGTCGTTGTTTTAAGTTTTTATCGTGAATTATGTGATAGTTTACATGAGAGAACATTATCTTTACATTCACCCTATTGTATTTAGTTTTATTGCAATGATTACAATCCCCTGCATGCATCATCAAACAACCAAAGGGTACACCTGCACACCCGCCACCCTCCTGTCAGCCCCCCATCCCTTCCTGAGTCTAGAGTCCCCAGCTGCTCCTTCTCTCCAAGTCATCCTCTGTCTATGAGGTGATTTTTGACTCATAGTGACCCCATATGGCACAAGTGCCTTATAGGGGGCTTTCTTTTATTTTTAAACTTTTTATTGCCAATTGAGTGTAGGTTTATAGACAGGGTCATCAGTTTTACATTTAATAAATCAGACACTTTCTTTCATCTCAATGACTGCAATCCCCTCTGTGGAGCAACAGTTATTCCACTTCCTTCCTGTGGTTCCTATTTCCATCCAACCCACCTTCTCATAAGGAGCTCTAGTAGCATAGTGGTTATGAATCAGACTGCTAACTGCAAGGTCAACAGTTTGAAACTACCCATTGTTCTGTGGGAGAAAGATGAGGCTTTCTGCTCCTGTCAAGATTTTTAGCCTCGGAAACCCTGTATAGGATCGCTATGAGTCGGACCACCTCCTCATTCCTTCTCAACTTTGTCCTTAGGTAAATATTGCCCTTTGATTTTGAAAGATTGACCATTCGATGCTGAGCATGTCTTACTAGTATTGTTGTTCCCCTTATGGGCCTTATCTACTGCCTGGCAGAAAATTGGACCACAAGGGTAAATTCCTTTCCAGACTTGGAGGGTGGTCAGTGCCCATAGTCTCAAGTTCCTCCAGTCTCGGTTCTGACCATTAAACCCTGTCTTTTTCTTTCTTTTTTATAATTTTCAGTTTTGTTCCACATTTTATCCCATTCTATCCAGGACTTTATAATATCATTCCTTTTAGAGCAATTGTTAGAGGTAGCTGGGTACCATTTACTTCTTCTGGCCTCTGTAGGATTTTCTAAGCTGTAGTCTTTACTGATGGGAACAGGTGATTCTAGAGGATAAGTACTGGACTATGAACCACAGGTCAGTGACTCCACCCCATCAGCTGCTCTGTGAGGCTTTCTGCTTTTGCAAAGATTTACAGCATAGGAAAACCTATACAGGGTTGCCATGAGTTGGAAACACTAAAATTTACAACTGACAACAAACAAGTTTGTCCACTCTCCGTGGGAGAAAGATGAGGCTGTTTGCTTCCATTGACAGCAATGGGTTAGGTTTTGATTTGGTTTAGTCTTTACTGAAGCAGATCATAAAGTCTTTCTCCCTCACGGATCTTGGGTACGTTCCTACCAACATTTGGATAGCAATGGAGTGTTTAACCATTATGCCACCAAGGCACCTTTATATTGCTGGTGGTGGTTATGTGCTGTGGAGTCGGTTCCTACTCATAGTGACCCTATATGGGGTTTCTGAGACTGCAAATCTTTACATGTGCAGAAAGGCTCTTCTTTCTCTCAAGATACAGTTGGTAGTTTCGAAACTGCTGACCTTGAGATTAGCAGCCCGACACATAACCACAATTTTGACAGAGTGCAGTTTGGTGGTGGTGGTTGTGTGCCATGGACGGTTCCGACTCACAGCGACACTGTATAGGGTTTCCCAGGCTGTAAATCTTTATGGGAGCAGAACGCCTCATCTTTCTCCCACGGAACAGCTGGTAGTTTCAAACTGCTGACCTTGAGGTTCGCAGCCCGATTCATAAGCACTACGCTACCAGAGCTCCTTTTTAGCAATATCAAAACTGCTCTACCTAACTTTGAGTCCTGGTGTGGCACTGTGGGTTAACGCGCTAGATTGCAAAGTCAGTTTGAACTTCAAGGTCGGAGGTTCAAGCTCACTAACTTGAGACCTTGGAAACCCTATGCAGGGTCGTTATGGGCCGGAACCTACTCGACGGCACTTAACAAACAAAAAAACCTTTGATTCTCTTCTGGAAATGTATTTTTCCTGTGGTGGTGGTGTGCTGTGGAGTCGTTTCCCACCCATAGCAACCCTGTATAGGGTTTCTGAGGCTGTAAATCTTTATGGGATTTGAAAGCCTAATTTTTTTCATGCGGGAGTGGCTGGTACGTTTGAACTACTGGCCGCAATTGTGTTTAGCAGCCCAGTTTATGACCCACTAGACTACCAGTACACATACAAAATATTTTGTGTTAAAGGTTATTAATTGCAGAATTGATTGATTACAAACAATTTAAGAATCTAGCTACAGGGACTAAATAAACTATGACGTAACCTTATCGATAACATTCTCCAGCTCTAAAAAACATGAAGAAGCTTTCTGGATTTATATGGTAAGATTTCCAGGAAAAGTGACAAAAGTAAGGGCAAACTATGATATGGTGTTACCTTTTGTGAAAGTAAGAAGAGAAAGATAAAAATGGACATTTATTTACGTTACTTGTATTTGCAGGAAGAAATACTGTAAGAATACATGAGTAATGAATATAATTACATACAAAGGAATGGTGACTATGTAATTTTTCATCCACATTGGAATAGGTTTTAGAGTGAACGGGGCAATAACAGATGTAAAATAGGTCACCAGATGCACCATCCTGAACAAGACATACATAAAAACTGATGTATGTTTATGTAAAAGGTTGTTGTTGTTGAGTGTCTTCGAGTCGGTTCTGATGCATAGCGACCCTGTATAGGGTTTCCAAGGAGCGGCTGGTGAGTTTGAACCATGGACTTGTGGTTCAGACCGACGTTGCGTTCCAATGATTTATCCATAGCGAACCTGTGTGAGTTTCCAAGGAGTGGCTGCTGAGTTTGAACCGCCGACCTTGTGGTTCCTAAAGAATACAGCTACCTAAAGAATACAGCATGGAAGGGGAATAGGAAAATTTTTATTGAATTTTACAAAAGTATAGGTCTGTGATGAACTGGAAATAAAAACAACTCGTTTTTTATCACATGCAGTTTAAAGCAGCGTTGCCTTAAAGAAGCAAGCACAGTAAATCGTAGACTTAGACACAGAATTTAGCGAATCAGGCACTAGCTTAGACACAGAATTTAGCGAATTGCACAAGTCTCACACTACCCGCTTTGGAGCTCATTAGCCTATCTGAAGTCGGAGAAGCCCGGCAGAAGTCCCCGGGGAGGCCAGGGCGGGGCCTAACGTGAGGCGTGGAGTTTCACGCCACTCAATTCTGGGGGCAGAGCTAGCGCAGGCTCTTACAAGAATTTATTTCCGGCGCTCTAGCCAGCACACGTGCTACTCTATGGTATCTCGGGTTCCCTCTGGCTGTACTCTGGAGGACCGCTCTCGTTTCCTTTTTGGCGGCGAGAGGTCCCGCAGCAGCGGCTGAGCTGGAAGAAAGATGGCGGCAGCGGTGCGACAGGATTTGGCTCAGCTCATGAATTCGAGCGGCTCTCATAAAGATCTGGCGGGCAAGTGAGTGTTTTTCTAGGGGGCACGGGAGAGAAGAGGTAGGGAGGGAAGTCACAGGACTTGTTCTCCTGGGATTGACTGCGGTTCTTGGATCTGAGGTTAGGAGAGGGCCTGAAGACCAAGGGGGCGGGCCTGAGGTCGGTTGGAGAGGCAAATGTTGGGAGCAACTGAAAGCTGGAGGGGACCTGGTTCAAGAGTCTTTGGGCCCGTACTTATGGGATGATTGTCAACTTGTTCGGTACTTAATAGCATCCTTACCGGCCCTTCGCGATCTTAGAAGCGCGGTCTGCGGGACTACTGCTTCCAAGGCCTTGCTCAGCCTCGTCTCTTCGCTGGCCGGCCTCTCACACCCAATTCTGCCTTGTCTTTGAGACTCTCCGCCTCTTCCCCCCCCTTTTTTTTTAATTGAGAGAAATAAATATTTTGAGACTCTGCTGAAGAGTTTCCTTGGGGAGATGGTTTCTCTGGGCTGACTGGGGTTGAGGAGGCAGGGCCGCTGTCCTGTATAGAACCTCTAGGAACATTAGTGGGTTCTTGTGTTTTTGGTACTCTCTTCTGCCACCATTTCTGAAAAAGGGAATGTATTTTGGTCATATAGGCGGAGTGCCCTCATAACGTGGGTCAGGATGGCTAACGTAGTGTGGTATTTGCAAGAACCTGGATTGTTAGGAATTTTGTCGGAATTGGTCTACTCCAGGTTAAAATCTTAAACTTGTGACTTCTGTGTCCCTCACTGCTCAGCAGTCAGTTGCTAAACAGTGTGTATACATAGAGTGTTGTTGTTAAGTGCCGTCGAGTTGGTTCCGACTCATAGCGACTCTGTATAGGGTTTCCGAGGAGCTGGTGGGTTTGAACTGTCGATTTTGTGGGTCACAGACCAATGGTTATTCTACAGTGTCGTATCAGGAGTCCATATATATAGTTTATATGTACTATACGGCTCTGTTGGATAAACACTGGTCCGCAAGGTCGGTTTGAAACGCAAGGTAGGCGGTTCAAACTCACCAGCTGCTCCTCAGAAGCCCTGTAAAGGGTTGCTGTGAGTTGGAACTGATTTGATGGCACTTAATAGCAACAACAAAAACTACCTGGACATTTAAATCTTAACCTTTTCTGTGGCGGTAAATATTTACGTTTATCAGTGGGGAGTGTAACACTGTGGGTTAATGTGCTGCATTATTGCAAAGTCGATTTGATCTGCAAGATTGTCAGTTCCAGCTCACCAGCTGCTCCACGGAAACCCTATACAGAGTCGCTATGGGTCGGAACCGACTCAACGACACTTTACAACAACAACAATTTTAGGCTTATAACTACCTGTGCCCCAATCTCCCATCAGGAAGATGGAGATAATTACAGTACTCATTCATTGAGTTGCCAGAGAATAAAAATGAGCATGTGTGTGTTTGTATTTGTGTCCCCATGTTGTTTCATTTGGTATCTTAACTGAGGTTTTCTTACATGACCAAGGGAGCATTCCAAGAGGGTGAGTGGAAGCTTCAAGATCTCTAGCTTTAGAAATTGTACAACATCAGTTCTCCAGGGATGGTCAAAGTCACAAGACCAACCCAGATTCAAAAGGAGGAAAGTTGGAGTCTTCCTCTTATGGGAGGAACAGCAAAGTTACTTTGCAAAAGATGCAAACAGAAGGAGACATAATGCATTGCAGACAATTACTCTAACATCCCGCTACTTGAGGTTATAGTGCAGAGTAAATAAAAGAAGGTTTGTAGAGCTTTTAGCCTTCTTCTCTCCAGGCACATAGTAAGTGCTCCATAAATGGCAGCCAATGCAGAGCTAGCTAGCAACTCCATTAGAGTTGCTTTCTGAAAAGTCTTGGTATTTTCTGTAGTTACATATTCTTTTGTCCTCTTTCCAGCAAGAATGAAATGTCATCCTATCTAATCAAGAATGTGTCTAGATAGTTACTTTCATAACAAAACAGTCTGCCAGCTACATGCTTCATGAGAGAAACACTTTTGAAATCGAACAATTGTTTTAGGGTTGATGCTTACAGTAACAAGATGGCAAAGGATTCTGTATTCGTTAATGATGGAGTCTATTGGTTTTCTAAAATTCTAATGCTTCTGTTCCCAGCAAGGAGCCCTGATGGCACATTGAGTTAAATATTGGGCTGCTGACTGCAAGGCCAGTATTTCAAATCCACCAGCTGCTCCTTGGGAGAAAGTTGAGGCTACCCGCTCCTGTAAAGATTTAGTCTTAGAAATCCTAAGGAGGAGTTGGACTCTGCGATGTGGTTGCTGTGACTTGTCATCAACTTGATGGCAGTGTGTGTGCTCCCACTAATTAGCAGAGTATCTATCAAAGAGTTGTTGTTGGTAAGTGATGTGGAGTTGATTCCGATTCATAGTGACCCTGTAGAGCATTTCCAAGGTTTTTATCTTTCTCCTGTAGAGTGACTCGTGGGCTCAAACTGCAGACCTTGTGGTTTGCAGTCTAGGATGGACTCAAGCGTGGCCACAGTAGTGAGGTTGGCCCAGGATCGGGCAGTGTTTCGTTCTGCTGTGTATAAGGTCGCTATGGGTCGGTACCAACTCAATGGCACCTAACAACAACAATAACTTATTATTCAATAATTATTGATTAAATCAGTGAATAACTAGAAAGGGAGAACTTGTAGGTAGGAGTCTCACAAAATATGTGGAAAATCCTTTTTTTGGGTCACAAACTTTTTGAAGCTCCCTCGTACTTGAATTTAGGTTTGTCTACTCTAGCAAGCTAATCCACTAGATTGTACTCTGACTTCTTTTATATATTGTGAATTCATATAATTCTCTAAAGTTGATACAAAAAGTTGACTTCTATAAATTTTAGAGATTGTTTTTGTATGTATTTTACATTGTGTTCGTTAGCTCATATAAAGGCACAGGGGGTGAATCACAGAATTTAGTACAAGGAAAAATTTTCCAGTGGGTTTAGGTCATTACTGTTTTCCTTTCACCCTTAGCCTAAGGATCAGTTGTATACTCATTGTCTTATCTTAGCGCTTTGTTGTTGTTATGTGCTGGGGAGTCTGGGAGTCATTTTGACTCATAGTGACCCTACACAGGGTTTCCGAGGCTGTAAATCTTTACGGGAGCAGACCGCCTCATCTTTCTCCCACGGAACTGCTGGTAGTTTTGAACTGCTGACCTTGTGGCTCGTAGCCTGATTCGTAACCACTACGCTACCAGAACTTACTACCAGTTTAATGGGCTTCAACTTTTTTTTTTTTTAAGTGTTTTATTGTGAATTATGTGATAGTTTACATGGGAGAACTTTAGTTTTACATTCATTCTATCGTATATTGGTATATTGTTTCATTGCCATGGTTACAATCCCCTCCATGCATCATCAACCACCCAAAGGGTATACCCTGAAGGCCCACCCCTCCCCCATAGCCGCTCCTAGACTGGAAAGTTAATCACTCCCCTCCTTGCTATAAAACATCTACATTTACGTTTCCAACCCTCACTATCGGTCCTGATAACAATTATTCACTATTGTATCACAAGAGACCCATCTGCATTTCATTTCATCAGCCCCGCCTAGACAGATTAGATAGTACTCACTGGAGAGTCTACCTTCCTCCAGGCCCTCTGGATCTAGGTTTCCTTTTGAAAGCTTGTAAGCCAGTCACTTCTTGCCTTTGTGGCTCCACCCCCCCACCCCCATTTTGGGTAGCCAATGTCCAAGTTGCCCATCCCTGTCTACTCTGTGTATGGAGGGGGTGGAAATGATTCTTGCTGTAAGGATTTGTTCCCTCTTTTTAGCTACTATATCCATAGGTGTAGGTCAAGTTCATCAAATTGTATCAGATTACTCTTTTTTTCCTCTTCTTTCTTCTTCTGGTTGAGCTCTGATCATCCAGTCATTGAAGCCAGGTCAAGTGAGTATTATGTGCAAGTGTGGGTGTTCTTATGCATATGCCCTCTCTTCTTATCAGCTAGATGCTTCACTCTCTCCACTCTAGTCCTCTGTGGCTATGTCACTGACTCTGGGCCCAGGAGTCCCCAGGTCTTGCCAAACTGTTGGCCAACCAGGTCTCCACCCGGTTTCACAGGAGTCTGTTGAACGTTGTAGGGCTTAGCTTGCAGCTTCATTGCTGTTTTTCCCTCACTTACCCTTCTCGGTGATGAGCTTGGTCACTAATGGGATTCAACATTTTTGACATTTTTTTCAGTTATCTTTTTTTCAACATTGTGTTTGAAACTTTTAAAACATACAACATAAGGAAGAGACTTTTTCTTTTTTTAACTTTTTATTGTGAATTGAATGAAGGTTTACAGAGCAGATCACCAGTTTTACATTCAATAAATAAAAACTTCATTTTATTTCAATGATTGCCATTCTCTCCCCTGTAATACCAGGCATCCTGCTTGCTCCCAGTGTTTCTTATTACCATTCCCTCCTCCTTCCTAACCCTTCTGAACTTTGCCCTTAGGCAAATGCTGCCCTTTTGATATTGAGTGATTGAGCTTTCCATGTTGAGCATACCTTACTAGTGTTGTTGTCCATACTTTTCTTCCACTCTATCCTGGACCTTCTAATATGACTCCTTTCAGAGCAATTGGTAATGGTAGCTGGGCATTATCTAGTCTTTTGGTCTTAGGGTCGTAGAGACTAATAGTCACATGTTCTCTTTGTCCATTTGATCAGTTGATTCCAGACATCTTCAGTTTTCATTGTTTTCTTTCCTATGCACAGGGAGATATCAATAGTTGTACCGTAGATGGCCACTCATGTGCTATTAAGATTCCAATAACATTGTTTTTGTGGTCTGTGTTATACCAGTTGACCATGGTGTCCTCTGAGACTATGGTCATTGAATGCCAGGCCCAACAACTTGTTCCCTCAAAGTGTTTGGTAATGTCTAAGAAGTTTTCATAACTTTGTCTCCGGTGTGCCTCACCACTTTCATAGATATGTTTCCTCTAGCTAACCTTTATACATACTCTTACTCTGCCTCTCATACCCATTCAGCCTATGTATTTGTCCATGTA